GGTAAGTGGTGGTGAGGCTGCAGGTAAGTGGTGGTGAGGCTGCAGGTAAGTGGTGGTGAGGCTGCAGGTAAGTGGTGGTGAGGCTGCAGGTAAGTGGTGGTGAGGCTGCAGGTAAGTGGTGGTGAGGCTGCAGGTAAGTGGTGGTGAGGCTGCAGGTAAGTGGTGGTGAGGCTGCAGGTAAGTGGTGGTGAGGCTGCAGGTAAGTGGTGGTGAGGCTGCAGGTAAGTGGTGGTGAGGCTGCAGGTAAGTGGTGGTGAGGCTGCAGGTAAGTGGTGGTGAGGCTGCAGGTAAGTGGTGGTGAGGCTGCGGTAAGTGGTGGTGAGGCTGCAGGTAAGTGGTGGTGAGGCTGCAGGTAAGTGGTGGTGAGGCTGCAGGTAAGTGGTGGTGAGGCTGCAGGTAAGTGGTGGTGAGGCTGCAGGTAGTGGTGGTGAGGCTGCAGGTAAGTGGTGGTGAGGCTGCAGGTAAGTGGTGGTGAGGCTGCAGGTAAGTGGTGGTGAGGCTGCAGGTGAAGTGGTGGTGAGGCTGCAGGTAAGTGGTGGTGAGGCTGCAGGTAAGTGGTGGTGAGGCTGCAGGTAAGTGGTGGTGAGGCTGCAGGTAGTGGTGGTGAGGCTGCAGGTAAGTGGTGGTGAGGCTGCAGGTAAGTGGTGGTGAGGCTGCAGGTAAGTGGTGGTGAGGCTGCAGGTAAGTGGTGAGTGCAGGGGGTGGCTGCAGGTAAGTGGTGGTGAGGCTGCAGGTAAGTGGTGGTGAGGCTGCAGGTAAGTGGTGGTGAGGCTGCAGGTAAGTGGTGGTGAGGCTGCAGGTAAGTGGTGGTGAGGCTGCAGGTAAGTGGTGGTGAGGCTGCAGGTAAGTGGTGGTGAGGCTGCAGGTAAGTGGTGGTGAGGCTGCAGGTAAGTGGTGGTGAGGCTGCAGGTAAGTGGTGGTGAGGCTGCAGGTAAGTGGTGGTGAGGCTGCAGGTAAGTGGTGGTGAGGCTGCAGGTAAGTGGTGGTGAGGCTGCAGGTAAGTGGTGGTGAGGCTGCAGGTAAGTGGTGGTGAGGCTGCAGGTAAGTGGTGGTGAGGCTGCAGGTAAGTGGTGGTGAGGCTGCAGGTAAATGGTGGTGAGGCTGCAGGTGAGTGGTGGTGAGGCTGCAGGTAAGTGGTGGTGAGGCTGCAGGTAAGTGGTGGTGAGGCTGCAGGTAAGTGGTGGTGAGGCTGCAGGTAAGTGGTGGTGAGGCTGCAGGTAGAGTGGTGGTGAGGCTGCAGGTAAGTGGTGGTGAGGCTGCAGGTAAGTGGTGGTGAGGCTGCAGGTAAGTGGTGGTGAGGCTGCAGGTGAGTGGTGGTGAGGCTGCAGGTAGTGGTGGTGAGGCTGCAGGTAAGTGGTGGTGAGGCTGCAGGTAAGTGGTGGTGAGGCTGCAGGTAAGTGGTGGTGAGGCTGCAGGTAAGTGGTGGTGAGGCTGCAGGTGAGTGGTGGTGAGGCTGCAGGTAAGTGGTGGTGAGGCTGCAGGTAAGTGGTGGTGAGGCTGCAGGTAAGTGGTGGTGAGGCTGCAGGTAGTGGTGGGTGAGGCTGCAGGTAAGTGGTGGTGAGGCTGCAGGTAAGTGTGTGGTGAGGCTGCAGGTGAGTGGTGGTGAGGCTGCAGGTAAGTGTGGTGAGGGCTGCAGGTAAGTGGTGGTGAGGCTGCAGGTAGTGGTGGTGAGGCTGCAGGTAAGTGGTGGTGAGGCTGCATGGTGAGTGGTGGTGAGGGTTGCAGGTGAGTGGTGGTGAGCTGCAGGGATGAGTGGTGGTGAGTTGGACTGCATGGAGGTTGAAGCATGGTGGGTGGAACTGCATGAGGTTGGAACTATGGGGAGTTGACTGCTGGATGGGTTGGAACCGTGCATGGAGGTTGGAACCGTGAATGGGTTGGAACTGCATGGAAGATGGAACTGCATGGGAGGTTGGAACCTCATGGGAGGGTTGAAGTGCATGGGAGGGTTGGAACCTGCATGGATGGGTTGAACTTGCATGGGAGAGTTGGAACTGCATGGAAGTTGGACCTGCATGGGAGGTTGGAACGTGATGGGAGGTTGGAACGTGATGCATGGAGGGTTGGAACCTGCATGAGAGGGTTGGAACCTGCATGAGGAAACTTAGCCATGGGAGAGTTGGAACTGCATGGGAGGTTGGAACCTGCATGGAGAGTTGGAACCTGCATGGAGGTTGGAACCTGCATGGGAAGGTTGAACCTGCATGGGAGGTTGGAACCTGCATGGAGAAGGTTGGAACCTGCATGGGAGGTTGGAACCTGCATGGAGGGTTGGAAGCTGTGGTTGAAATGAATATTGCCATGGGAGGTTGGAACCTCATGGGAGGATTGGAACCTGCATGGGAGGATTAGAACCTGCATGGGAGGGTTGGAACATGCGTTGATGGGTTTGAAACCTGCATGGGAGGATTGGAACCTGCATGGGAGGATTGGAAGCTGCATGGGAGGTTGAGAACCTGCATGGGAGGGTTGGAACCTGCATTGGAGGTTGGAACCTGCATGGGAGGGTTTGAACCTGCATAGGAGGGTTGGAACCTACATGGGAGGATTGGAACCTGCATGGGAGGATTAGAACCTGCATGTGAGGGTTGGAACATGCATGGGATGGGTTGGAACCTCATGGGAGGGTTGGAAACTGCATGGGAGGGTTGGAACATGCGTTGGTGGGTTTGAAACCTGCAGGGGAGGGTTTGAACCTGCATAGAAGGATTGGAACCTACATGGGAGGGTTGGAACCTACATGGGAAGGTTGGAACCTACATGGGAGGGTTGGAACCTACATGGGAGGGTTGAAACCTACATGGGAGGGTTGGAACCTACATGGGAGGGTTGGAACCTACATGGGAGGGTTGGAAACTACATGGGAGGGTTGGACCCTACACGGGAGGGTTGGAACCTACATGGGAGGGTTGGAACCTACATGGGAGGGTTGGAAACCTACATGGTGAGGGTTGGAAACCTACATGGGAGGGTTGGAACCTACATGGGAGGGTTGGAACCTACATGGGAGGGTTGGACCCTACATGGGAGGGTTGGACCCTACATTGGAGGGTTGGACCCTACATGGGAGGGTTGGAACCTACATGGGAGGGTTGGAACCTGCATGGGAGGGTTGGAACCTACATGGGAGGGTTGGAACCTACATGGGAGGGTTGGAACCTACATGGGAAGGTTGGAACCTACATGGGAGGGTTGGAACCTACATGGGAGGGTTGGAACCTGCGTAAGAAGGTCTTCCAGCAGGTCACAGAAAACAATATATCTTTCAATAAGGGAAAAGTTGCATCCTTCACTATAGGCAGTTTGAAGCCAAAAGAAAAGCCCCGGAGAATATATAAAAAAAAAAGTCAGTCGAGCGAAAAGAAATATAAAAATTTTCAATTATAATAACACAATGGCATATTAAATTATTGAAGCTGTGTAATATTGACAAGTTGACGACTGAGAGATATTTGCAACATTTGTTGCCCCCGTGGCCTGGTGGGTAAAGCTCTCGCTTCACACGGCCAGGGTCTGGGTTCGATTCCTAGCGAGGGTAGCAACATTGGGCGTGTTTCTTTACACTGGTTGTCTATGTTCACCCATCAGGAAAATGGGTACCTGGGTGTTAGTCGACAGATGTGGTCGCATTCGGGGACAAGGACATAATTTGCACGAAATGCTCTGTATAACAAAGGGCTTTCTATATAGTAGTATGTCAGTGATGTCAGCTAGGACTGTATACCTTGTACATGTACTTGTAGTAAATAAAGATATTATTATTATTATATTAATATTTATTATTATTATTATTATTATTATTATTATTATTATTATTATTATTATTATTATTATTATTATTATTATTATTATTATTATTTTATTATTATTATTATTATTATATTATTATTACTTGGGTACCTTTATTTCCTACACGATGTTCCTACACAATAATCTTCTTCAAGTCATGTACAGATGAACACTCTTCCTGCTGTGGGTGACAGAGTCACAACGTCAGAACTACCTCTGGTGCTTCCAGTGTTATATTCATCTCTGTTCGGCCTGCTGTGCAAGCCAAAGCCTTCCCCAATAAAGATATTCAGTCGCTGCAAATATGTCTTATTTATCACAATAATGTTTCATGCAGGACTGCAAGGACAACGATGAATATCAAGAAACTTCAAAATAAGAGATGCAAAGCCAGTGATGATACACTTTAACGTAACTCTTCATTAATAATCCCTTTGAAGGAAAATGAACTCGCAGTCCTAGAGAATTTTCGCTGGACGTAACGAATTACTCAGTTCTAAATTACCGGAAAATATTAACATAACTCACTTTGTATTTATGGATTTCTGGTGAGAGATGTAATAAACTTTAAATCAGAAAAATGTTGGAGGGATTGGTTCCAAATTTGTAAACTGAAATTAGCCCTTACGAAAGTGGAGGGGGGGGGGGCTGCGGCATGGTAGATGGCACAGATTAACAACAGAGATTCGGTAAGGATGCTGTTAGATAACTGATAATCATGCGGGATCCAAGACTTTTCAACACCCTCATTTCGTTTATAAAGGGGACAAACCGACACGTTAATAAATGAGACATTTATCATCTCATTTATCAAGCTTGACTATCTTCAGGAGAAAACTTGACAAGTTCCTCCAGACAGTTCTGACCAGAAAGGGTCATGGTGCCTACGTCAGACCTTTGTTGGCGAGCATCTTCAGCCTGATTGACTGACCAGGTGGTTTGGTCTGAGACCGACCCGAGGGAAAACTATCCTCAAAAGTCTAAAGGTAAACAAGAGGCAAATATTTCAGAATATAAACGTCATTTAAGGAGGTTCTGAATTTTTTTTAGTTTATCGTCTGATTTAATTTTTTTCATGTAAAGTGTCATTAATGTTCACATTTTTATATAATATCTCTCTTAATCTCTGGTTAAATAAAAAATAAACACTTTTCTTACATACGTTTATTTACATATATGTATCTAAAATACGAGTACAGAAATGCCTCAGATATAAACAATGAACGCACTAAATTTGCCAAGACCTGCATGACAGCTTAACACAAAATACAAGAAACGGAAGACAAAACAATTAGCAACTGTGCGTTTTGATCTTCGGGACTAGGGGTAGTAGCCTCCGCCCTGGCCAGATCCACCTCCACCTCCGCCGCCGAACTGGGCCTGGCCTTCATAGGTAACGACTGGGTGATAGCCGGAGTCGTCAGCGGTGTACTCTACCTGCTGGAGACGAGTGTCTGGCAGCCTCACGTAGTACCTGAGGGAGGGACAAGAAATACACATCAGATATGAAACTGTACAAATACCAGAATATGAGACATGTTTATGAAATGACTAATGTTACTGTGGGAGTTAAGCTAGTGGAGTCCACTATCTTGAACAAATAAGGCAGGAAAAGTGTTGATGAAGAATGTCTCACATGGTTATTACTCGTATAAAGGCTCAGTGATTGTTGACTCACCTTCCCTGTACTATACCGTTGTTGGCTTCTTCCCCGTGGCCGAAGGAGTTACCAGAGGCTGCGTCGTCGACATCCCACTGGAAGTTGTAATTTGCAGGTGCGGAGGCGTACTGGCCACCAGACCCTCCGGACCCCCCGGACCCTCCGGACCCGCTATACCCGCCGGACCCTCCGGATCCGCCCGACCCACCGGATCCGCCGGATCCAATGGGTCCTGGGGCCCCGTAGCCCTGGGGAGCCGCCCGTGCCGCTGCCACAGCCACACATAATAGAAGAGCCACGGTCTGAGGGGTGACAAGCAACAATGAGAGTACTAAGAAACACATTCTTAAGTTGCCCTTCAAGACATCTTAAAAATTCCTGAACACACTCAGACAATCACACATCTCAGACGTGAGAGATTCTGCAGCATACCAGAACCAGCATTGTGCATTATTTTCTTTACATAATTTAGTTTCATAAATAAATACTTCATGTAATCCTATATATACATCTGAATAAAAAAATACTGAACTATGCAATATGTTAAACATGCTTGGAGTGAGGTACCTTCATGGTTGTGAGGTGACTGGAGAAGTCAGCTGGAGGTGTCAGCTTGGGGGTAACTGCTACTCCAAGCACCGCACTCACCTATATATCCCCAGAAATTGTGACGCCATGACACGCTTAAAGTACCTTCAGGTGACGTAAAAACCACCTTAAGAGCGTCGAGCCTCGCTGCCTCTACAACCCATTATTATATAAGTGAGAGTCTGGGGAAGATACGAGACACTTTCAGATGTTCACCATGCAAACACGCAGATGTTAATCAGTGAGAAGAGTGAATGAAAACAATTCCTAAGGCAAACATGTTCGGTTTCTAACGCTAAACTTTACAGTACGGTTTTTAAGGTGCAAAGGGTAAACAGATCATTACTATGAACCACCGTAAGCGGAGGCACAGCAGCGGAGCGCACACATTGTGAGTGATCGTTATATCACAATACCCACAGTACCTGCTATACAACAGGCTTAAGTCCAGCGCATATGACTGGGCCTCCATGATGGTACCCAGAATTCGCATAAGACGAAAAAATACAGGATTACAGATAACCTCAGTGATTTGTTTGAAACCGTGTTATTACGATTTCGTGAGTCGGGTCTTCTGCTATCTTCCTTCCTCACGTACACTGCAGATCAAGAAGTGTACAAAACACAAGAAACCTCTGACAATTAGTACACAAAATACAAGAATATAAAAGCATCATTCTTAGTGGAAAATCACGTACCCTGACAGATACCAGAATACCGAGCTATACAGAATCTAACACATCGTCCCAATAATCAAACACTCATATATCAATAGTTTTTTTCAGCTTTCTGGTAGGTTTTTAGTCTCCAGGATTAATTTCAGACCTGTGTTAGTGGTGCTGCTAAGCGTGAGACACGAGAATGTCATCACCAGTTGTTTAGATGGGATGGAAAAAACAAAAGACTGGTAAGCCAGTTGTTGTTTAATTACCTCCAGGTGGTGAGTTCTGAGTGTTTTGGATGACTGTTGGAATCTGATTCCTGGTCACAGACCGGGACGCGGGGGCGTTGACCCCCGGAACTCTCTCCAGGTAAGAGTTTAGTGCTTCCTCCTGAAGGTAATAATAATAATAATAATAATAATAATAATAATAATAATAATAATAATAATAATAATAATAATAATAATAATAATAATAATAATAATAATAATGTACAGTTTCTGCACTCTGAAGGAGGCGAGTTAATATTGCAGTTTTATAATTGTGGTGTAAGTGCGCCTCTGGCAAGACAGTGATGGAGTGAATGATGATGAAAGTTTTTCTTTTTCGGGTCACCTTACCTTGGTGGGAGACGGCCGATGTGTTAATAAAAAATAATAATAATTATTACTATTATTATATTATTATTATTACTCTTATTATAACGTATAATCACTAAGTCATCTGACAACGACTTCCTCAGCAAGAAAAATTTTTCCTCCTGTTTTCCTGGGGAACAAAATACTACCACTAATAGTTTGCTTAACAATTTTTCATCTTCAGTTAGTACCCAGGGCGAGATTTATCCTGGCTCTGCCATGTATCCATTTCTCTTCGAGAGTTTTTAACACCTCTTTTGTTACCACTAATTGCCTGTGATAATCTATCTGGGTATAATGGGGACTAACTTATGAGTCAGGAGTCCCCAGCCTTTTAGTATGAAAAGGCCAATTTGAAAAGCCAAATTTACAGGAGGGCCGCGTTGAGGTTTAGGAATAAAAATGGCTCTGAATATTTCGTATGTGTTGACACTGTGCAGTGTGGAAGCTACATAAAAGTGAATTAATAATTTCAGGTGAGGGCCGCATCCATTTCCAAGAAGGGCCACATGCGGCCCAAGGTCCACATGCGGCCCGAAGGCCACATCGGCCCGAGGGTTGCAGGTTGGGGACCCCTGGTTTGTAAACGGTTTAGAAAACCGACAAATTGAAAAATGAGACAGTTGTGCAAAATTTGGGAATCTTTGTGGCGGGAACGTTTCGCCAGAGATTAAGTTGTAGCTCTTGGTTCCTCTAATACTGGGCCAACTGACGTGAAAAATCTTCGTTTTGGTTGCTTAATGGGGTTTAAAGTTTATATAGGCTATACCAGGATCATTAAGGCTGCACTGAACCTTTCATCACCACACAGGAATGTTTTAATCCCTAAAATAGGGATTAAAGTAAACTCTGAACACATATACGCTGAGAAAAATAAATCTCACGATGTATATGTCGCATTCTGTGTCAGTTTTGTGTGTTTGAATTTATGTGTTGGTTTATTTCGTGTTTACCAAGATGATTTGTGCATGTTAATTTCCTTTTTGTAGTTACAGGAGGAGAGTTGTGTTCGTGGTGTCCCTTCTTCAGTACCTGACTGTATTTCAGGTCGCAGCTGCACTTCTCTTGTGATATAGGCGTTAGTTACCATTTTGTCCAAGACTGTCAGAAATTATGTGCATGAGGCTTACAGGAACAGTCCTGAATTATTACACACACATGATTTGGGGAGGACACAACTACAACAAACATAACACTTATTGATATTAGTTGTACCTCGGAGATGGGTAGGATTTTAGGGACACTGGGTAACAACAGTATCCGTCCATCGATACCCCACCCACTCATACCACACTCACATAAGTTATGAATTATTAAATTTAAACCAGTTTATGTTTATGGATTGTTAACGACCTGACTTTACAATTAATGATTTGGGTTCATAAAAATACACTTTATATGAGATGTACTAATTATTTAATGTATATAAATATATATATATAATAATATATAATTATTAATATTAAAATTATATTTATATATATATATATATATAATTATATTTTATAATATATATTATAATTAATATTATATATATATATATATATATATATATATATATATATTTTTTTTTTAACAAACCTGCGCATTCCACCGAGCAGTGCCCAAAAAAAAAACGAAAGTTTCTCTTTTCAAATTTATAATTTTTACGGAGAAGGTACTAGCCTGCTCCCGAGGCATTTGTGCCTCTTAAAACGAGGCTTACGGAGGAAGATTCTGTCCACTTTCCCATGAAATTTGACGGTATGGGGTTTTACCTTGCTTCCCGTGCATATGTGCAGAGTGCTTCTTCGTGTTAGGTGAGCATCGTGTAGCGTTTCCTTCGTGTAGTGCGACCCGGTAGGTTGTTCCTTCGTGTATGTGCTCCGGAGCGTGTTCCTTCGTGTAGTGCGCTCCGTGTAGCGTGTTCCTTCGTGTAGTGCGCTCCGTGTAGCGTGTTCCTTCGTGTAGTGCGCTCCGTGTAGCGTGTTCCTTCGTGTAGTGCGCTCCGTGTAGCGTGTTCCTTCGTGTAGAGCGCTCCGTGTAGCGTGTTCCTTCGTGTAGTGCGCTCCTCTTACTCTTCTGAGACTACCTGAGTGTGAGGGGAAGTGAAGTCTAAACACTGATTCCATGTTATAAACTTCATGCCAGTCTATTTCTCTTCGCTTTTTTTTTTTTTAATATTCACGTGGGCCATTTGACTGCATAATTTCTAGCAGTGCATTGATATGCCGTCCCTTGATGAATTGCTTCAGCCGTTGTTTTAAGACCTTTTACTCGTTGTAACTACTTCTTATTTTTGTTTTATAACTATTACCTTATCTATACTAATGTTTTGTAAGTTTGCTTAAAAGGCTCTTTTTTTTTCTTTTACTCTCCAAGAATATATAATTTACCCATCTCTCTCTCTCTCTCTCTCTCTCTCTCTCTCTCTTTTGACTTCGTGATCTCATTTGTGAACACGAAGTGGCATCTTCTGTCGAGCTCACTGAATACTTCCCTGTCTTTTTTTTTGTGGGCGTTTCTTGTTTTTTTTTCGCTCTGCTTTGGCTGCCTTTTTTCGGTGAGCACTCCTCGTTTTTTCATTCTTCTTTGGCTGCCCTTATTTTGGTGAGCATTCCTCGTTTATTGTGGTTTGTCCAGCGCTGCATTCCTTGCCTGAATCCATGTTTACGTCAGATGAAGGAATATGGAACTTTCTGTATGTTTACGTTAGGTGAGGAAAATGGAACTTTCTGTATGTTTACGTTAGATGAGGAATATGGAACTTTCTGATATGTTTACGTTAGATGAGGAATATGGAACTTTCTGTATGTTTACGTTAGATGAGGAATATGGAACTTTCTGTATGTTTACGTTAGGTGAGGAAAATGGAACTTTCTGTATGTTTACGTTAGATGAGGAATATGGAACTTTCTGTATGTTTACGTTAGGTGAGGAAAATGGAACTTTCTGTATATTTACGTCTGATAAATAATGTGTAACTTTCTCTACTTTCAACACGTTCTTTCTTACACGTTCTAATAATTTACATGTCATACTCAGTGGATCTGGCGTCAGTAATTTATATACCTTTTTGCCTCAGCTTTTTAAAATTACTTTGTAACATTTCTTTCGAACATAAACAGTTCATTTAAGATCTGCTAGAGTGACTTTGACAGCATTTCAACTTTTTATTGTAGTGTTCTTCTTGCTATTTCGAAGGATCAGATTCCTACAGGAGTGTCTTCAGTCCTTCGTGAGTTATGTCAGTCATGGCAGGTAGTTCTGGTTCATTTGTGAACATGAAGTGGCATCTTCTGTCGAGCTCACTGAATACTTCCGTCTTTTTATTTTTTTGTGGGTGTTTCTTGTTTTTTTTTTTTCGCTCTGCTTTGGCTGCCTTTTTTTGGTGAGCACTCTCCTTTTTTTCATTCTTCTCTGGCTGCCCCTTTTTTGGTTAGCATTCCTCCTTTTTTTTTTTAATTTTTCTTTGGCTGCCTTTTACCAAAAAAAAAAAAAATTTTTTTTCTTCGACTCTTCTAACTACCATATTCTCCAGCGCTGAGGTCGATCTTTCCTTCTTCCACGCTCTTTTGTTTCTTGTTTCGCCCTCCATATATTTTTGCTCGAAGAATGGGTTCTTCTAGTTTCTCTCATGCAAGAGGAATAATAACTAAGCCGATGAATGGTAACAGACAGACACTTGTAACAAAGCACCTTTTAATTATACAATGTGCCTTGTCAAATTTCTGAACCTCTGGTAAAAAACCATCGGAATTTCCATGAGGGTTTGTGTCCTTAACTCGGAGTTCCACCTTATTCGTATATATAAAAAAAACAACACAGAGAGACTCATTCTTCATAGTAATATTTCATATACATCAGACCCTTGGATTCTTTATCTTCTCCTTTTTTATACTTCTCACTTTCGCCTGGTTGACGAACATCGACACCAGGTGCGCTATATATGTATTCACCTGGCATGCATCTCACTGGAGAAGAAAATAAAGTTTAACTTGGCCAGTTTGTTATCTCCTTATAATCTCATTGGTTCTTTAACGTTTTGCATTAGGAAGCATTTGGAAGTTGTGTATTATGTGAGGTCTGTAGGCTTTGTTCCCCGAATCTGTTCTCCATGTCCGGTCTTCTGGGTCCTTCCCCCAACCTTAGAAACCCTGCATTTGTTGGGGTTCAATTCAAGAAAATCTCCTATGTGATTGATCCTTCAATATATCCAGATTCAATTGCAGCCTTTCCCCGCCCTCATCTGTTTGTATTCTCATCATAAGTTTTACAGTATCACTGAACAGGAATACATCTAACTCAACCCCATCCGGTATGTCATTCACATAAACAAGAAACAGTACCGGTCCTAATATTGATCCTTGCAGAAATCCAGCTTGTTATTCCTACATCTCTTCCCAGACGCTCTGTCTTTGTTGTCCTTGTTATTCCTGGCTGCACCTCAAGTTTTTGACACAAGTCTGTTGTAGGGTACAGTATCAAAGGCCTTCTGTCTTACTTCCCTCGCTTTGCCAAAGAATTCCAACAAATTAGTAAGACTAGATTTAGCCCCTCTGAACCCGTGCTGGCTGTTGTTTATGCTACCAATTTTAGGAGAGGAGGTTGTGCTCTGGTATTAAGGGTAGCGAGAAAAGCGTCTTCGATTGGCGGTAATGAGGTTATGTATCATCACCTGGATTGGTAATGAGGTCGTGTGGATTGTCAACTGGATTGGCAATGAGGTCGCGTGGACTGTCAACTGGACTGCCTTGTGGTGGAATACGTCTTTCGAAACCCTCGATACTCAGAAATTAATTATTCAGTTTTATTTTCAGAATAATAGGAAAATTTTTACGAGGATAAATACTTTTTTTTTTCTATTTATTAACATTCATTTATTTACATATAAACTCAGCACAAAGTATATAGCCAAATCCTGCTTGATTTTTTTTATAAAAATCACATGAATTCAATCAGAATTTGCAAGAATTTCATTCATACGAAAGGCAGCAATCTATATAATCCCTCTCCACTTCTGCGGACTAGGGGTAGTAGCCTCCGGCTTGACCAGATCCCTTTCCACCTCCGCCGCCAAACTGGGCCTGGCCTTCGTAGGTGACGACGGGGTGGTAGCCGGAGCCGTCAGCGGTGTACTCCACATTCTGGAGACGAGTGTCTGGCAGCCTCACGTAGTACCTGAAGAAGTGGTAGAAACACGAGAGTCAGTGTCCGTGTATGTTTGTGCTTCTGTTAGGGTCTACATAAGAATATAAAGCATTTGCAGATTAAAGTAATAATGCAAAAAAGGGGATCGACTAATAGCTGAAGAGCAACACTGGTGCTCAATGAGCAGCGGTAAGGCGTTGAGCATATCGGAGAGCTTCTTGGACCTGTAACTCTGTTAGTGGTCCTTTCAACTCACTTGCCCTGGACGATCCCGTTGCTTGCTTGTTCTCCGTGGCCGTAGTCATTGCCTGAAGCAGCGTCGCTGACGTCCCACTGGAAATTGTAGTTGGCGGGGGCAGAGGAATATTGGTCCCCAGATCCTCCAGACCCACCAATACCTGGGACGCCGTAGCCCTGAGGAGCCGCCCTGGCCACTGCCATCACCGCAACAGAGAGTACCAGAGCCACTGTCTAAATGGAGAAGCATGGGAGTAAGTAGTTATATAGAAGGATGTTACACTGATGTTACACTGGTTGGTACTCTGGTGTTACACTCTAGTTAGTACTCTGATGTTACTCTGACACAGCTGGAAAAGGGTGCAATGAATATATTTATGAGTATATTATGTTACGCCTGGTCAGGTTCCACATTACTTTGGGCAGAAATATCACTTAATATCATATTGCGAACTTCCTTATTAATAACTAAAATAGGGAAGTCCAACTATTTAATATTATCTGGGGCCATGTTTCTGTTGTGCAGAAGAGCAGTTTAACTTGGCCTCGACCTGCGTAGTGCTGGGGAATAAAATATGTTCAGAGACACCAGGTGTGGGTTATGACACTAGTTATGGGCCAGGGACTCCAATTACTGGCCTGGGGCACCAAGTATACTTATAAGCAAATTTTGACACAGGGCACTCTGTATGAACACTGGGCTCCAAGTATGGGAAGAAGCATGAGATACTGGCCTAATAACCAGGGTATGGGTTGGCAGACTGCGTATATTGGCTTCGTCTCTTGTGTCAGGATGGAAAATAAACGCAGTGAGGTGATCTTCGAGCGTAAGGATAAGCCAATGCATAGTCGATTATTATTATTATTATAATCAAAAAGAAGCGCTAAGCCACAAGGACTATACAGCGCTGCAACTTCCTTAATGCATAGTCGAGAATCTCAATAACCTGGCTATTATTTAAATCCCATCAATTACACGAGGGTCATTAATGGCCGCATGCAATGTGTTGACCACCAGTCAAGAATATTTAACAGATGTAACAAATGGTTTGAAAATCGACATGTTAAATCTTTATTAAGATTTCCATATGTCGCATAAGTGCCTCAGTCTTGAAGAATATTTAAATCTCTAAACGAGATATTAAATTCTCAATATATATACACCGAGAGACAAGCGCTGTTGTGTGAGCCACCATGTACCTGCATGACTGTGTCTGCTGCCTGGAGGAGCTCAGCTGCTGGACACTCAGTCTTCAGTCCACTTTTTATACATGCAAAGAAAAGTGTCACGTCATGGCGTGGAAGGAGCCACTGCATGGCTTAGCTGCAGCAATTTACGATTCTCATCGTAGTTTAGAGAGACAATTCGTGACTCTCACTGTAATTTAGGGAGACAACAGTTCATGACTCTCACTGTCATTTAAGAAGACAGAACTCACTACACTGACAAAATTAGTTTAGTTTAAAATAGCTTAAATTTTCTGTAATTCAGAGCTTAACATATGCTGCATACAATACACGTTCGCCACACCTAGTACATGGAAACACTAAACATAATATATATATATATATATATATATATATATATATATATATATATATATATATATATATATATATATATATATATATATATATATATATATATATATATATATATATATATATATATATATATATATATATATATATGTGTGTGTGTGTGTGTGTGTGTGTGTGTGTGTGTGTGTCGTGCCGAATATGTAAAACTGGTCAATTAGCAAGAACTCATTTAAAATTAAGTCCTTTCTAAGATTTTCTCTAATACGTTTACAGATATATTTTTTTCATTAATGTTAATGTAAAATTTTTAATTTTGCTCCAAAAGAATCTTAGAAAACTTACCTAACCTTATGATAACAACAACAATTTATTTTAGCCTAACCCAACTAAATATATTTTAGATTTGTTTACAATAATTTAATACTAAACAAATACAGTGAAATATATTTTTTTCGTTAGGTTCAGAATGATTTTGGCGAAATTACTGCATACACAAATTTTCGCTTGTCCTATATGGCAAGATGAGCGTTGCTATTTAAGCCAAGATCGCAAGTTCTGACTATTCGGCACGACATACATATATATATATATATATATATATATATATATATATATATATATATATATATATATATATATACATCTGGACGCTTCTGGCTGCCATCAGATCTGCATAGTTGGGGTGGCTCCCTTACTGCTGGGCATCCAGCTGTTGTGAGGCTCCTCTTGATAATGTTATTAACCTCCTCATGTCTTGCAATCTTTCCCTCGGATTTACGGCACACAAGACCATGGTACCCGAATCGGTCTGCTGCTTCACTGCCACAAATACACCTGTGTTCGGCGAGAATAGGGGCGGCAAGTCGAAGGGCAACACCGATGCGGATGGTCTGTGGGTCGAGACGTGTGCCAAGGCTGGAGTTGGGAACAGCCAACAGAAAGTCCCCAGCATGAGGGGCTCTCACTGCCAGGAGGCGGGCTGTATCCTTCCCTGACACACTCTGAAGCATTGTTGAGGCAATATTTTCCACTATTGGACCATCCCAGTGCGATTGTTTGTAGTTGTTGGGGGGAGCAGGTCTGGCTCCAGAGCCCGTTAGATTATCCCAGATCATTGCTCCGTCAATGAATTTTTGGTCCTGGACTCCTATCTTGTCCCTAAGATGTTTAGGGAGAATCGCTGCTACAAGCTCTCTGGATGCAATATATATATATATATATATATATATATATATATATATATATATATATATATATATATATATATATATATATGTTTGTCTTTGTGCTCGTCATTCACGACCATATATATATATATATATGGTCGTGAATGACGAGCACAAAGACAAACACTGCTCCTGGATTAACTGATGTTGCTATACAAATCTCAAACAACATCTGTTTTGAGTTGTCATGTCTTCACCTCATCATCTGTTTTTTATCAGCAGCGCTACACCGCCCCCGCGTTCATTTCTCTCCTCTCTCTTTATACGTTACTCTTTATACTCTACGAGGGAATTATATTCGTGATCATATCAATTTACTTCGTTTTAAGTAACTGTGATGAGATTTAGGATTTATGCTTGTTCTCTGTTGTTTGAGTCATGAGTTCTGAAGATCTTGTGGGGATGATGGTGCTTGATGTGAGGCTGGGACCGGCGCTGTGGGAAAGTGGGTGTGATGGTGTAGTGTTGTAGGGAAGTGGGTGTGATGGTATAGTGCTGTGGGGAACTGTATGTGATGTAGTGTGTGTTATGGTGGGAGGGGTGAGGAACTGAGTCTGTGTCTTAGAGTTGACAATGTTCTCTGGTGGAATAACAGTCGAAAAAAAAGTGTGAGTTATGGTTAATAGAAAGGACGTTTACAGTGAGGGAATGACGCCGAGGGGCATTGTAACTGAACGTAGTTGGGACGTGGTCATTGAGGGCGCTGTGTGTGTGAGAGAGAGAGAGAGAGAGAGAGAGAGAGAGAGAGAGAAAAAGAGAGAGAGAGAGAGGAAAGAGAAGAGAGATGAGAGAGAAGAGAGAGTGAGAGAAGAGAAGAGAGAGAGAGAGAGAGAAGAGAGAAAGAGAAGAGAGAGAGAGAGAGAGAGAGTAGAGGAGAGAAGAGAGGAAAGAGAGAGAGAGAGAGAGAGAGAAGGAAGCCATTGGAAGTGGATAAAACTGAAGACCGAGTATTGAAAGATATAGAGAGTTGTGTTGAAACCGAAAACGTAACAATTGAAAAAAAAAAAGGAAAATGGGGCATATTCTGCCCAGAGGGAAAAAGTACTTGAAAGGAATGTACAGCATACGGACACAGGATTAAAAAAACGAAGGTAACTCGTGAATGAAATGATGGAGCAAAAGAGAAACAAATATTCCAAAACTTACTGCAGTTACTAAAAACAAATGAACTATTACGATCGCGACTGTGATGTCACCAGATGCTGCTGAGTGAAGACACACGGGAGAAGAGGCTGAGGGAAGCAGCAGCATCAATGATGGGAAGTGTATCGATATGTCTTAATTAATACATAGCTGCTTCAGTTACCAGTTTAGGTCTTGGGATCTTAAGAGTTGTCATATGCGGGTAGATACCATGTAACACAACAGATACCATGTAACACAACAGATACCATGTAACAGATGACTCAGACACAACAGATACCATGTAACAGATGACTCAGACACAACAGATACCATGTAACAGATGACTCAGACACAACAGATATCATGTAACAGAAAACTCAGACACAACAGATACCATGTAACAGAAAACTCAGACATAACAGATACCATGTAACAGATGACTCAGACACAACAGATACCATGTAATAGACAACTCAGACACAAATACAGGATAAGTCAAAGATTTCCATACATACGGGGGATGGGGGGAATTTTATTAATTTCTTCATGTTTTGGAGGTGAGGTGCTAAGATACCGTCGTCCCCGGGATGGGAAGATCGCATCCACGCGCCCCGTCAGCCTAAGAACAACCCCATATAGAATATTCTTATTTGTGACCTCCAAGTGACTGCATAATATAGAGACTGTTTGCTCTATGTTTTAAGATATTTTTGAATTATCCAGCAACGATAAATATTGTAAATAAAATTGTGGATGCAGCAAAGGGAGTCGTCTTGAACCTAGCGACAGTAGGGAATTTCAGCCATGGAGAGAGAAGGGTCTGGACAGCTATGGACACATGGAGAAGTAAGATAATTTACTGGATAGTACAGAACTTCCTCTTGGAACTTTTTCAAGGATCTACACGCTGGTGAGGAAATGAACTGGAAATGCTTCGTGTTTCAGTCTTCGGTGAACTGGATTTAAAAAAAAAAATCTAGAGTGCTTCTGAAGCTGAGGAATTATTCCTAATAGTTAAATCAAAATTGTGAGGGTATTTTTCCGTGCAGTGTTCTCTACTATTCCCTATGATAAAGTATTATGCACAGTATAAGTGTATGATATACAGCATCCATGTATTATGTCTGGAGCACTTGTAATGTGCAAATGGTTAAAATATTTCGTGATAGATATACAAATTGTCTTAGATGGTAAGTCCTGTCTGTGTTTACTGCACTACTTATACTGTTAGGAAAAAGGACACAGGTGAAACTAATCTGACATTTCACTGTGCTAACATTTCACTCTCCAGGAGCTTTGCTAAGCCGTTGCCACAATAAATTATCACATTAGTTGCATCTGTGTCCTTTTTTTTATCATTCTGTGGGTAATTCTACCAATGTTACTACTCATACCGGGTGTGTGTTCTTGCTCCTCCCGAAACGACGGTGAGAGTCGTGAAATGTTATGTTGACGTCATGTAAAGACTCTTCTTACGTGGTGACATGACAGTTTCTTTTAGAAGTATAAATAGAGGCTCAATGACATCTGGCCACCACTACACCTTCACTTGCAGACATCAGAGGCAGCCATGAAGGTACCTGGCCAATGGATGGCACACTAGCCTTTTAAATGACACATAAACATACGGCTATTCACTACCCTGGCATATTCTCTATTTTTACGTCATTATTTGGTGTCCAAGGTCCTTTCTAGTTGCCCAGGTACTATACATGGTACTGAAGGTATTTACCTGTTGTGGGGGGATTCATATAAAGATTACTGGCTCCACATCTGGTGTCATGAGCCCATATTTCGTGCTTTGGGTTTGTACCTGGTGGCTCGGGTTCATTCCTTATGCCTCGGGTCAGCACTCAGGTTCATTACTTATGACTCGGTCTTAGTTCCTGTGTCTCAAGTAATACCTAGTGCCTTGGGCATCAAGTATGGCACTCTGTAGATCGAGGAAAAAATAGGATTGCTATTTTTCACTACATAAACCTTCACTATAGTCACCTTTCCATCCTTTATCACAGTTGCTTACTGTCATTCCTCTCTCTTCAGACAGTGGCTCTGGTACTCTCTGTGGCGGTGATGGCGGCGGCCAGGGCGGCCCCTCAGGGCTACGGCGTCCCAGGTATTGGTGGGTCTGGAGGATCCGGGGACCAGTATGCCTCTGCCCCCGCCAACTACAATTTCCAGTGGGAAGTCAGCGATTCTACTTCAGGCAATGACTACGGCCACGGGGAGCAAGCAAGCAACGGGGTCGTCCAGGGCAGGTGAGGTGAAACCATCACTAACAGCTTTACAGCAATCAACGCATTTCTTTTGAAGTGTTTGTTGTTCTTTGTTTGCAACGTTGTACGAAGCTGGGTTGCCGATGTGAAAAAAACATCATAAATATATATACAGATATATACATTTATATGCACTCTGCTGTTATAAGTAGTTCCTCACATGCTAAACCTCGGGTTTGGTATTCCTCCTTCAGTTACTACGTGAGGCTGCCAGACACTCGTCTCCAGAATGTGGAGTACACCGCTGACGGCTCCGGCTACCACCCCGTCGTCACCTACGAAGGCCAGGCCCAGTTTGGCGGCGGAGGTGGAAAGGGATCTGGTCAAGCCGGAGGCTACTACCCCTAGTCCGCAGAAGTGGAGAGGGATCTTCTGGTTAAATCGGAGACTACTTGCCCCTAGTCAGCAGCGGTGGTGGACAGGGATGTTTTGGTCAAGCCTGAGGCTACTTCCACGCCTAGTCCTGCAGTACGAGTCTTCGGAGCTGCCTTAACCGTACTCCTGCTTTTAATATTTCACATTGAAAACTTGTGAACAATTATCTTCCTGTAAGTCAAGCTGGTTTTGACAAATATTTTGCACCGTGTTGATGCATGCGTAAATACATAATTGTCAAAATATGGTAAAGAGTATTTTGTCAGCCTGTTAGTCACTGTAGACATTGTTTATGAATAGTAACTGGCTGCTACTACCATCCCTCACTCTCCCCAGTCCATCCTGGAGGAAGAGTGGCTAGGTAGAACGAACTTAAATTTAATGTGGGATAAATTAAGTAAGAATACTGAATGTCGGAAAGGATAACATATCAAGAAAGATGAAATGAAACACTGACAACCTAACCAGCTTGGATGACACAAGAACTGGTTGAGATCATATTGGAACGTGACGGTTGCCACGGAAGACCATGCTAGCTAGGTGACAGGCAACATGGAAGACCATGCTAGCTAGGTGACAGGCAACATGGAAGACCATGCCAGCTATGTGACATGCAACATGGAAGACCATGCTAGCTAGGTGACATGCGACATGGAAGACCATGTCACCTGTACCATGTTATTAAACACAAGAGAGTGAGTGGTCGGGCGCACAGAGTGAAGAGCTTCAGGAACTAATTCTCCGCTCAAGGCTACAACACAACTTACATAAAAAAATCTGCTAAAAGGACTAACCTCTAAGATCGCAAAAGTCACAAACGACGCGAAATCTTAAAAAAAAAAAAACTGTATTCTTGGATGACTGTACGAATGTACGAATTTTAAGGCAGGACCAATAAGGGCCTCCACACTGGTCAAGACTTGTTGATGAAAGATTTCTCTGTGCAAGAAATTTTTAGTGCAAATCACCGTAAATGATACAGGCACTTTATGTCACACTTGCTAAATATCACCTTGAATATGCTGACCATTTATGTTTCCATAATTATATAAAAGACGAAGATAAACTAGAAAGAGTTCGTAAAAGGGACAAAAAAAATTGTGTCTATTAAGATAAAAATCCTGTAAAGAAACACTCAAAGTATTTGATTTGTTTTTCTTCGTAAACGGGGACTACGAGATCTCAATATATTAAGCAGGAAAATGGCAGAGATGCATCGCAGCGTGTAAATTCAGTGAAAAAAAAAAAACCTACGAAGAAAGCCTAAAAAAAATCTCAGAAGTATTATTTACCCTCAAGAACCACAGACTGAGAGTTGTCATCTAGACCTTTATATCAACACGAAGGATTAAAGAACAAAGTAATTCAATAATGAGAAGAACTAGAATGAAACTCCGAAACAAGAGGTACAACACTAATGCCAGTGAAGTTTCCTTGCACACTGGAACACTGGAACGATCTCTCCACTGACATAGTAAGTGCAACAACATTATAGAGATTTAGGAGACAATTAGACATGCCAGGAGCGGCGCCGAGGAGGGGAACTAGGGAGACATTAGACCCTCAGTGTTACTTAGCCCACAATAATAATAATAATAATAATAATAATAATAATAATAATAATAATAATAATAATAATAATAATAATAATAATAACAAGAACAGTAATAACAATAATACCAACAATAACAATAATAACAAGGAAGCTTGAGGACGAGTGTCCTAGCCCCCCCCCCCCCGTCCCTTCTAACCAGACAGCCACACATAAGCTCCTCCATGTAGCAGAAATTCTGGGAATTTGCAGACATTGGATTCAAGGTGATACAATGAAGGGCTGGTTGTGACCACTGGAACCATTAGAACACTCCAGGATGATTTGAATAGACTGATGCAGTGGTCGGAGAAGTGGCAGAGGCAGGTTAATATAGACAAATGCTAAGTTCTAAATGTTGGACAGGAAAATAACTATGCCACGTATAAACTAAATAATGTAGATCTTGATATTACGGATTGCGAAAAGGATTTAGGAGTTCTGGTCAGTAGTAATCTAAAACCAAGACAACAGTGCATAAGTGTTCGCAATAAAGCTAACAGAATCCTTGGCTTCATATCAAGAAGCATAAATAATAGAAATCCTCAGGTTGTTCTTCAACTCCATATATCCTTGGTTAGGCCTCATTAAGACTATGCTGCACAGTTTCGGTCACCGTATTACAGAATGGATATAAATGCTCTGGGAAACGTACAGAGGAGGATGACAAAGATGATCCCATGTATCAGAAATCTTCCCTGTGAGGATAGACTGAGTCCCTGAATCTGCACTCTCTAGAAAGACGTAGAATTGGGGGGGATATGATTGAGGTGTATAAATGGAAAACAGGAATTAATAAAGGGGATGTAAATAGCGTACTAAAAATATCTAACATAGACAGGACTCGCAGCAATGGCTTTAAATTGGAAAAGTTCAGATTCAGGAAGGACATAGGAAAGCACTGGTTTGGTAATAGTGTTGTGGATGAGTGGAACAAAATCCCGAGTACCGTCATAGAAGCTAAGACGTTGTGTAGCTTTAAAAATAGGTTGGATAAATACATGAGTGGGTGTGGGTGGGTGTGAGTTGAACCTGACTAGCTTGACTCAAGAAATCGTAATGACACGATTGCAAATAAACCATACCCCCGGCCGGGATTGAACCCGCGGTCATAGAGTCTCAAAACTCCAGCCCGTTGCGTTAGCTGGTCTAGTGGCTAACGCGACGGGCTGGAGTTTTGAGACTCTATGACCGCGGGTTCAATCCCGGCCGGGGGTATGGTTTATGGCTGACTAGCTTGTGGTACTAGGTTGGGTGCACTGCACCCTCCTTAAGTGACGTGTCTTACCTCACTAGGTCAAGGTATTGGCTTAATCCGGTGGGAGAATTGGAGCTGCCTCGCATAGGCCAGTAGACCTGCTGCAGTGTTCCTTCTTTTTTATGTTCTTATGTAGGTTCAATAATAATCCATCGTGAACCTCAGCAAGCATCCTGAAGAAGTTTTTGTTTATATCAACCCTGTTTATATATCTGTTAGCATATATTCTTACCCGTTTTTCATATACGTAACTAAAATAAATTCCAGTAAATTTATTATTTATATTTCTGTTTATTTTGGTATCTTCCGTAATTTTTTCTTAACATGCAAACTGGTCCACTGGACCAGTAAAACTAATATATATATATATATTATATATATATATATATATATAATATATAAAATATATATATATATATATCTATATATATATATATTATATATATAATATTATATATATATTGAGTTGACGATGTTCTCCATATAAACTTTAACGTGTCTTGGTCGCTAATTTTGGTAATGTATTTAATCTGTGAGTTTCATGTCCCACGAGGAAATTTTGCAGTCTGGGTGTATACGAATCTCTTTGAGCTTCCATCACAGAATTGAAAGTTGTACTGAGTATCGCAGCTATTTCCTTGTTGCTATTTGTCATTCTGTTGCAGTTGTGCTACTGCTGCTAGCAGTTGTATTGCTGCTGCTAGCTGCAGTGTTGCTGCTGCCAGCGGCTATACTTAAGTTTTATTCCCCTAGCTGCCAGGGCCTAGCATATTTGATCTTTAATATTTTGTATAATTCTCATTTCCAGGTCTTATTATCACATTTATCTCCGTAATCGTTTGCAGTTGGAATGGTCTTGGATATGATGTAATATTTTGCATTTCTTGTATACGTTACATTTTTGTAGCATCACATTTTTTTTTCCCTTGTATGATGTGTATGATGTCTCTCCCAATAGTCGGAGTTTCGTCTGTGAAATAATTCTCTGTCTCTGAGTTGGCTTTTATCGAGCAGTTCTCTGCATGGAAAGAAGCGGAGAGAAGAGAGACACATGGGAAAGGGGAGAGAGGGAAAATGGAGAGGAGTTGAAGATGGAGGGAAGAAGGGAGAAATGATAACGAATGGTTGAATGATGGAGTGTTGAGAATTGTACTTAGAAATGATCTTCTGTGTTGGTTGTATTTGTGTTAATAAATGTGTTACGAATGTGTGGGTAGCGAGGTCATCTGGACTGACACTTGCGAAGCTTTATAACAGAACGGTCGTAGAAAAACTCTTATGAATGAATCTTTCTCAACTTTCCCTCCATAATAATACACTAGTTTAAGGTCATATAACTTGTTATTTAATTTTAGAACAATGACACACGAAAACCTGACCTTAATGAGAACTAGAAGCGGGTATACATACAAATATATATGTATATATATATATATATATATATATATATATATATATATATATATATATATATATATATATATATATATTATAAAGGATTACAGGGAGTAAGAGGTTAATTTTAAATTCATAACAATTTTTTTTCGGTAATTTATTTACACGCCTATCAACCTGATACAAAATATAATGTCAAAACCTGCTTGACCTATTTAGCATATCATGAAAAATGAAAATGTTTTAAGGCAACCTGGAAGTTTTCCGTGTAAAATAGACAATGCGAAGGGTATTTCACAAGTTACCCTCTAAAATTATTAAGAGCTCAAAAAGTCGAAGAGTAAATGTGATAAAGGAGCAGACAGCTGGGGAAATGCGAACTACTAGACAACGAGCAGCCTAGCGTACTAATACTAGGGTAGTAGCCTCCGGCTTGACCAGATCCCTTTCCACCTCCGCCGCCAAACTGGGCCTGGCCTTCGTAGGTGACGACGGGGTGGTAGCCGGAGCCGTCAGCGGTGTACTCCACATTCTGGAGACGAGTATCTGGCAGCCTCACGTAGTACCTGAAGGAGAGAAAGAAAAACGAGATTTAGAGTATGAAGGACTACATATACATACAAGGGTGAATAATAATATATATTTACATATATAATTAGAATATTCCACCAGTACTATAGTTGTTGACAAAGCTGTAAAAAAAGAGCAACAAAAGAATCAGAAAAAAATGCATTGATTGCTGTAAGGTTCTTAGTAATCATTTCACTTCACCTGCCCTGGACGATCCCGTTGCTTGCTTGTTCCCCGTGTCCGTAGTCATTGCCTGAAGTAGCGTCGCTGATGTCCCACTGGAAATTGTAGCTGGCGGGGGCAGAGGAATATTGGTCCCCAGATCCTCCAGACCCACCAGTACCTGGGACGCCGTAGCCCTGAGGGGCCGCCCTGGCCGCCGCCATCACCGCCACCGAGAGTACCAGAGCCACTGTCTGAAGCGAGAGGAATGACAGTAAACAACTGTGATAAAGGATAGGAAAGGTGACTATAGTGAGTGTGCATAGTACCAAGGAACCAGGTATGTGCTAGGCCACTAGGTAACACGCCCGGGACATCCCGTGTGAACCCGGGCACCAGATTGCTTGGTTTTAGTTTGCCGTACCAAGTATGCGTTCGTAGAGAATGTGTTACGATTCTGAGTCTCGTGTCACGAATGATATTAAGTTAGCTGGTTGAACTTCCTTAATAATTTTATGTCCCATAATAATTTTATGTCCCGGCTGGTGAGCCAGAGGCCAGGTACCTTCATAGCTGCCTTTGTTGTCTGGAGGAGGGAGCTGAACTGCTGGAGTGACATCCTTGCTCTGCTTTTTATACTTCCAAAGAAAACCACGTCATGACGTGGACTGAACCTTTGGATGATGTAGCCACAACAATTCCGAACTCTCACTATCGTTTAGGGAGGTAACAAGGGAACAACACAATTGGTCTAACGCTAGTCGGTGCATATATGATTTGGTGGATGGGGCAGCAATAGGCCAGGTGGAGGAGATGGGGTTGGTGGCATAATTGGGTGATAAGATGCAGGGATTGTTGAGGGCGTAGTTGGGTTATGGGATGCAAGGGAGTTGAGAGCGAAGTTGGGTGATGGGATGCAGGGGAGTTGAGGGTGTATTTCGGGAGGTGGAGGAAGAGGGAAAGGGTAGGAGGAGTTGAATCTGTGGTATGGAGCTTAAGAGTTTTCTTTGGTGGGAAAACTGGAAAGGACAACACTAGATAATAGTAGTGGTGAGCCATTAAAAACAAAAAAAAGCACAGTACCGTGACTGGAACAATGCAGAAATAACCCACACGTTTGAGAGAGAAGCATACAAGAACATTTCGGTCCGACTTGGATCATTTACAAATGTGAATTGCAAATGATCCAAATCGGACCGAAACGTCGCCATGAGCATTTCCTTAGTGTGGGTTATTGTGAGGGAGAGACGAATTTAATGCAGGTGAGTGATTCAGGGAGTGGTTTGCAACTGGGCATAGATTTTTGCTGGAGTATCCTGAGTCTCATAGAAAAGAGGGGAGTCATTAAAGAATGTGATAGAATCGAATTAAATTTGGAAGAGAAAAGTTATGGGTTATTAAAATGGAATTGTAAAGTAAAGGACACAAGTGCAACTAATGTGACATTTATTGTGGCCACAATAAATGTCACATATGTTGCACTTGTGTCCATATTACTTATCCATACTGTCGGTAATTCTAAACGAACTTTTAATTACAAAATGGGAATTGTAGAAGATAGATGGATGAGGACTGTGGGCAGAAGACGAGAGAGGAGGATGGAAGTTCGTAAGAAAGGCAGGCATTAGAAGATTTTAAAGCCCCATTGTCTATACAAGGTTAGATAAGACTCGTCAGGAAACAGGAGAGGTGTTTCCTGACTCGGGTTTTAGTTGTATGATGACCCGCCGCTGGAGCTTTTTGTCGTCTGACCGAGGCCTTCCGCTAGCTTATCGGTCCACCCCTTTAAAAATTGATATTAATTTTATATTCATCCATACAAGGTCTCCAGAATTCCTACCAACTAAGTTACACTGGCGAGGCAGAAAAATACGTCAAACAGAATAAATAAATCACAACTTCTGAACAAAACGAAAGAGTAAGATTTTGTTCCCATAATAATCGTAAATCCTGAATATAGTCAAGCACGTAGTGTCTCTCACAGGGGCGACTGCAGACACAGAAGTGAATATACTGAAGGAGAGGATGAAGGGTACCAGCTGATGGTATAAACCTTGGTGATCGATATTGACAAATTGTATTAGGAACACACGTCAACAAACACTAGAACACTTCTTACATACAGAGGTTAGAAAGACAGTACACAGGCAGAGAGAGGGGTGTGAGTCACATTTGGTGGCCTGAAGAACGACATTTTGGGATGAGGGCAGGTAAACAACGGATCACGTGACTCTTGTGTTGCTAAGTAGGTGGTGTTTCTGTTAAACATAATGAAAGAACTTTCCTAAGAATGTTGAGCTGGATAAATTAGCGTAATAGATGAAGAGTGAAACACTCGTGCAACATTTTGGAAATCTGTATTGAGGGAACGTTTCGCTACATGGTGGCTTCATCAGTCTAATACAAAGAAGATCGTTGGAAATAGAGGAGGAGGTAGAGGTAATCAGTCCCTCAGCCTGGAGATCGATGTGTTCAGTCCATCAGGCTGAGGGACTGATTATCTCAAACTCCTCTATTTCCACCGATCTTTGTATTGGACTGATGAAGCCACTGTGTGGCAAAACGTTTCCTCAATAAAGATTCCAAAATGTTGCACAAGTATCTCACTCTTTAAGGTCTTTGAGAATGTCAGACTCAACTAGTAACCACATGACAGAACGGTGGAACAGCGAAGGCAGTCATGTCTAAAACATTGATTGAAGGGAACTATCATGAAGATAAAGGCTTTTAGGACGCAGACATGGAGAAGCAAGTTGCTTTACTAGTCAAGGAAGACGTGTCTTTGTTGCAACATGCTCACGAATCTGCAAGATTATGAGGAAATGACGAACCGGTGAGGCTGTACCTTGTTTTCTCCTCAAGCTAGTTGGACTTAGAAAAAAAATGAATCTGTATTGCCCTTGATAGCAAGCGATGACTGATAGCGAGTGATGACCCATGACAGGTGATAATTGATAGCAAATGATGACTGATAACAAGTGATGACTGACAACAAGTGATAACTGATAACAAGTGATAAGAAATGATAAGAACATAAGAAAGGAGGAACACTGCAGCAGGCCTGTTGGCCCATACTAGGCAGGTCCTTTACAATTCATCCCACTAACAAAACATTTGCCCAACCCAATTTTCAATGCTACCCAAGAAATGAGGTCTGATGTGCAAGTCCCATTCAAATCCAACCCCTCCCACTCATGTACTTATCCAACCTAAATTTGAAACTGATAACTGATAGCAAGTGATAACTGATAACAAGTGATGACTGACAACAGGTGATAACTGATAACAAGTGATAAGAAATGATAACTGATAATAAGTGATGGCTGATAACAAGTGATGACTGATAACAAGTGATGACTTACTACAGTTGGATCACAAGAGGGTTGAATAATGTCCGCTGTCCATCTGTTATATACTGATCAATATATATTATCTCTAGTGTACGTGTATTATGGCAAGCGTACATGTAACTTGTCTGGTACATGTAATATATCCACCGCACATGCTTCATGCCCCGTGAACATGTACTGTGTATTATATATCGAAAAACCAAATTGTCTTAGCCGTCAAGTAGTGACTTTATTTATTGCGCTTTTTATGCCGGTGCTGTGTTTTGTTTCTTCCACAAACAACAGTGAAAGCTGCGAATTATTAAAATGGCGTCGTGCGAAGTCTCCTTTTCCGTCGTGACGTCACAGTTTTCTCTGCAAGTATAAAAGCGGCAGCGAGGACGTTTGAGCAGTAGTTCATCTCCTCCAGACATCAAAGGCAGACATGAAGGTATCCGTTGGCTGCCTGACCAGCGAATTGGCTGAGATTTAGCGACTTGCATAAACATAATAATTTATTTTTACGATCTTTACTCTGGCATATTCTGCATCTTTATGTCCATAACTGGTGCCCGGACTCCATGTCTGATACTGCAAGCCTTCACTTATTTTCAGTGGGTCAATACCCTGGTGATCTTGCCCATATCTGGTTCTCCATCACTACGTAGATCGAGGCTAGGTTAAACTGTTCTTGTATACAACAGAATCGTCAACTAATGTCACTTTCACCATCCTTCAATACAAGTACTTCTATTCTCTCCCTTCAGACAGTGGCTCTGGTACTCTCTGTGGCGGTGATGGCGGCGGCCAGGGCGGCCCCTCAGGGCTATGGCGTCCCAGGTGTTGGTGGGTCTGGAGGATCCGGGGACCAGTATGCCTCTGCCCCCGCCAACTACAACTTCCAGTGGGAAGTAAGCGATTCTACTTCAGGCAATGACTTCGGCCACGGAGAACAAGCAAACAACGGGGTCGTCCAGGGCAGGTGAAGTAAAGCCATCACTAACAGCTTTACAGAAATCAATTAATTTCTACCGATATTTTTTTTTGTCGCTCTTGTAAATACCTGTAGTACTAGTAGAATATTCTAATTATATATAAAGATTTATATTTATATATATGTATGTATGTAGTCCTTCACACACCTAAACTCCTTTTTCTTTCTCTCCTTCAGGTACTACGTGAGGCTGCCAGACACTCGTCTCCAGAATGTGGAGTACACCGCTGACGGCTCCGGCTACCACCCCGTCGTCACCTACGAAGGCCAGGCCCAGTTTGGCGGCGGAGGTGGAAAGGGATCTGGTCAAGCTGGAGGCTACTACCCCTAGTCCGCAGCGGAGGTGCACAAGGATGTTATGGTTAAGCCGGAGGCTACTTCATGCCTAGCTCTGTGCTACCAGTCTCATTAGCAGTTATATATATATATATATATATATACTATATCATGTACCAAATAAATCAAGCAGGTTTTGATAAATATTTTGTACTTCGTTGATTCATGTGTAAATAAATAATTGTCAGAACACAGTCCAGAGTATTTAGTCAGCCACTTAGTCTGTTTTCTGAAGTCTTTGTATGTACTACTCAAACTGTTTCCTGACTAGCAGCCTATTGTTATCTCTCCTATTCTTTCCTAGATGGAACTTGATAAATAAGAGTGATATAGATGAATTGTGAGATAAATGAAAAGAATGAAAAGTATGAGGGGTAAAACGAAAAGATAAAAACAACCAGACCAACTTGGATAGCAAATCTAATGGTTAAGACCATAGACAGAAAAGATAAATACATGAAACTAAGGTAGTATGGAAACCTATACTTAACCCACATACTGTTACGGACATAGACAAAGAAAGATAAAAAGAGAGACAGGAAAACTCAAAAGAAAATTCCACATAATACCAAAATAAAATCGAAGAATTCACGCTAAGGACAAAAGGTAAACAAAAAAAAAAAAATGTGTAATTGACATATAAAAAACTGACGAGTATTGGCATTTTCAAAATTTGCACAAATGATCTCGAGGTGTAACTATAATAAAAAAAAGTGAAATATTCGCATACGATACAAAGTCTATGAAAAACAATAACAGCATTTTTGATATATTAAGCTACTGAGACAGCAAATGTTTACAGAGGTTTTATCTCCTCTTGCTATTGATTGGTAAGAAACATGTGCAACAATTTGGTAATTTATTCCGAAACGTTTCGCCTACTCAGTAGGCTTCTTCAGTCGAGTACAGAAGAGGCAGCAGAAGCAGTAGGAATGCAAAAACGATATACTGAGTCCATCACCCTTTGTTCCAGACTTTGGAGCATAACTCTTCTTCAGACTGAGGGACTGACCACCTCAAAACTACGTCTTCAAGGGTGATGGACTGATTACATCGTCTTCACATCTCTACTGCTCCTGCCTACTTTCTGTACTCGACTGAAGAAGCCTACTGAGTAGGCGAAAAGTTTCGAAATAAAGATACCTAACTGTTGCCTATGTGTCGCATCAAGACGTAGTTTTGTTGGAGGAACTTCGTTAGTTTCCAGATGCTTGTCACTTTGCTTTCTTGTATCTATTAGTTAACATTACTGTTATTAGATAAACAATTTATTTTCTAGTTTATCGAGCCAGTTTGATTTGTTGATGTTCAGCTTCTCTAGGAAGTACAGTGTGTCATGGCTGCCCGTTTTTGTATTTTGTGTGGCAGATTCAGGTCTCCGAAGGACGTTTTTGAAAGCCGAGTATATGCAGAACTTTATCGGCTGTAACTGTAGAACTGAAAGGCGAAGCGAATATCGAAACCTCTTCCCTGGTGCTCTTAGTTGTTCTGTTGCTACTGTTAGTTAAGGGTAATATCGTTGTTTTGTTGCTCCTGACCTATTTTAATTAACTGGATTTTTTGACCTGTGTAATTTTCCTTTCAAATACTAGTTTACAGAAAGAGACCTCTCTCTCTCTCTCTCTGTGTAACTGCATGTAGTTATTGCCGGCTTTGATGTTGGTTATGGTTGTGGCTTGTGATCTCGACTAGTTGTTTTGTCATTGCAGTTTCTTTGGTTTAATTATTTCCTCTTTTATTCTTTTTGGTATGTTTTCTCTTTCGATATTCGTTTTTTTGCGATGCAAACGTTGTTTGCATCGAGCAGTTTTATCCAGGGAAAAGATGGGAAGGAAGAGAGGCGGAGACAGGAGAGGAAGGTATATGGTAGGTGAGGGGGAGAAACGAAGTGAGAAAGAAGAGCAGATGAAAGGAGATCAAGGGAAAGAGGAATAGGGATAAGATGGCGAAGATGTGTGGGTGATGTGGAGATAGGGCCTTGCTTTTTTAAGTTGAAATCGGATCTTGTGTCATTGGCGTTGCCAAGTTGTCGTGATTGAATAATTAATGGCCAAATGAGACACTTGAGTAACATTGGGAATTTTGATGAAGATACAGAGAATCCAAGTATGCAGTAATGTGGTCACTTACAACTAGACGAAGTATTCTAAAAATTAGATTCAAACGAATGGGGGTCACTTGGAAAGCACTTCGCTGATTTATGATTAAACTCGTCTGGCCAATGCAAAAGGGAATACAAATGCTTTCTAACCTTCCAGCATAATTAAATATCTAATTTCATGGCAACATTATCAGCTGCAGTTTTAGATTAGTTAATATGTTTATTACTGAACTCACCCTGAATAGACCATCCTGTGGGTGGTACAAAAGATAAGAGGTACATAATTGGTCCAGGGACTGGACTCCAAGTTTATATAGCTGAATTTTAGCAAAGTAATGAACTAGCTGCAGGGAAACTTTTTACCCGACACTGAAAAGAACTGATGTCAAGTGCCAATTTGCATGATATTTTAACGGGTTCATGAAAAGGACTACGGTTTTGAACGATACACACAAAGGTTCTCGAAATTACTCGCTAATTTTTTTATATTCGTTTATTTACTCATGTATAAACTTGATACTAAATTGTTTGTCAAAACCTGCTTGACTTATTCTGTACATAATATAAAAAAAATATTAAGAGCACATTAGAAGTATTTTATAATACAAAGATCAGGACAAGAAGGGCACTACAGCTGAAATATAAATGCAGATAAAGAGCTTAGACGGTTATAGAGGTTCATGAAGCTGGGCCTCCGGCTTGACCAGAAGATACGTCTTTTTCCACTGCTTCTAAGGGTAGACAGCTTCCGGCTTGACCAGAAGATCCGTCTTTTTCCACTGCTTCTATGGGTAGTAGCCTCCGGCTTGACCAGAAGATCCACCTCCGCCGCCAAACTGGGCCTGGCCTTCGTAGGTGACGACGGGGTGGTAGCCGGAGTCATCAGCGGTGTACTCCACATTCTGGAGACGAGTGTCTGGCAGTCTCACGTAGTACCTGAAGAAGTGGTAGAAACACGAGAGTCAGTGTCCGTGTATGTTTGCGCTTGTGTTAGGGTCTACATAAGAATATAAAGCAACGTATGAATATATATCCTTACATATTTCTAGAATATTCTTTCAATAATAGTGCATTTGCAGTTTAACGTAATATCGCAAAAAAAGGGGATCGACTAATAGCTGAAGAGAAACACTCATGCTCAATAAACAGCTGTAAGGTGTTGAACATGTAGGAGAGCTTCTTGGACCTGTAAAGCTGTTAGTGGTCCTTTCAACTCACTTGCCCTGGACGATCCCGTTGCTTGCTTGTTCTCCGTGGCCGTAGTCATTGCCTGAAGCAGCGTCGCTGACGTCCCACTGGAAATTGTAGTTGGCGGGGGCAGAGGAATATTGGTCCCCAGAGCCTCCAGACCCACCAATACCTGGGACGCCGTAGCCCTGAGGGGCTGCCCTGGCCGCTGCCATCACCACAACAGAGAGTACCAGAGCCACTGTCTGAAGGGAGAGAATAACAGTAAACAAGTGAGTATGATGGATATTTCTGTAGTGAGCAAATGCAATGTTAAGGGTAAGAACCTAGAGAATGTTTAGGTACTAGGTAGGAGATCGTATACTGCGTAAGTTAGAAATGAACTCAATTGGGTGGACATCATGAACATCTAGGCCTATGCTAAATAGCGAATCTTATACTCGGTGTCGTGCCAGCTGCGGTAAAGTACCTTCATAGTTGTGTCTGATATCTTGAGACGGAGATGAACTGATAGCCAGACATCCTCGCTCCGTCTTTTATATTTCCAAAGAAAACTGGCAAGTCACTTCACGGAAGAAGACTTGGATGACGTCATTACAACAATCCAAGACTCGTCATCACTGACGGTGTCACGAGACTACAAAAGATATAGCGTTTTGATAAGAGAAAATTCTTGACAAATAAGAGAATTTAGCTAATTCTGTGCATAATACACTTAGGCAATGTTTCCAATGCATGTACTCCAGACACTGTCCACACCTTGTAAGAAAATAATACCTGGCACAAGTCACCGTCATGGAAAACCAGAGAATTTTAAACAGTCTGAAGGATGTTCCTTTGGTTATTATTTACATTTAAAATTGCATGATAAAATCTGAGAAAACGAATGCAGAGAATAGAGGAGAGAGAGGAGAGAGAGAGAGAAAAGAGAGAGAGAGAGAGAGAGAGAGAGAGAGAGAGAGAGAGAGAGAGGAGAGAGAGAGAGAGAGAGAGAGAGAGAGAGAGAGAGAGAGAGAGAGAGAGAGAGAGAGAGAGAGAGAGAGAGAGAGAGAGAGAGAGACCCTCAAACTGTATTTATCCAACTGCCAGGAGTTAACACAAGAAGGGGCGCACTCGAGATTAACTTTTCTCTAAGTCTCTGTTGCTGGTGAAACAGAGAAGTTTCAGTCTCACCGGATCGTCTTTATTTTCTCACATTCTTGTCTGTTCAGAATTATTTAGTCAAGCAATACCTATTAAGTCAAGCAATACCTATTAAGTCAAGCAATACCTATTAAGTCAAGTCCAATACTATTACTATTAAGTCAAGCAATACCTATTAAGTCAAGAATACCTTTAAGTCAAGCAATACCTATTAAGTCAAGAATACCTTTAAGTCAAGCAATACCTATTAAGTCAAGAATACCTTTAAGTCAAGCAATACCTATTAAGTCAAGAATACCTTTCCTGGGAGACGCTTGACAAAGAAAAAGGAGAGAATTAGCATTGCTGATCAGATATAGAGAGAGATTTAAAGACTTATTATTATTATTAATCATAGAACTTCGTTATGATGATGATGATGATTAATAATAATAATAATAATAATAATAATAATAATAATAATAATAATAATAATAATAATAATAATAATAATAATAGGTAGTAGGTTGGTAGACAGCAACCACCCAGGGAAGTACTACCGTCCTGCCAGATGACTGTGAAACAAAAACCTGTAACTGTTTTGCATGATGTAGGATTGCTGGTTTCTTTTTCTTTCTCATAAACACCTAGATAACAGGGATATCTTGCTACTCCTACTTACACTTTGGTCACACTTCACAGACACACACATGCATATAATATATAATAATCATCTAGGTTTTTCTCCTTTTTCTAAATAGCTCTTGTTCTTTATTTCTTCTATTGTCCATGGGGAAGTGGAAAAGAATCTTTCCTCCGTAAGCCATGCGTGTCGTATGAGGCGACTAAAATGCCGGGAGCAATGGGCTAGTAACCCCTTCTCCTGTAGACATTTACTAAAAAAGAGAAGAAAAAACTTTATAAAACTGGGATGCTTAAATGTGCGTGGATGTAGTGCGGATGACAAGAAACAGATGATTGCTGATGTTATGAATGAAAAGAAGTTGGATGTCCTGGCCCTAAGCGAAACAAAGCTGAAGGGGGTAGGAGAGTTTCAGTGGGGGGAAATAAATGGGATTAAATCTGGAGTATCTGAGAGAGTTAGAGCAAAGGAAGGGGTAGCAGTAATGTTAAATGATCAGTTATGGAAGGAGAAAAGAGAATATGAATGTGATAATTCAAGAATTATGTGGATTAAAGTAAAGGTTGGATGCCAGAATTGGGTCATAATAAGCGTGTATGCACCTGGAGAAGAGAGGAATGCAGGAGAGAGAGAGAGAGATTTTGGGAGATGTTTAGTGAATGTATAGGAGCCTTTGAACCAAGTGAGAGAGTAATTGTGGTAGGGGACCTGAATGCTAAAGTAGGAGAAACTTTTAGAGAGGGTGTGGTAGGTAAGTTTGGGGTGCCAGGTGTAAATGATAATGGGAGCCCTTTGATTGAACTTTGTATAGAAAGGGGTTTAGTTATAGGTAATACATATTTTAAGAAAAGAGGATAAATAAGTATACAAGATATGATGTAGGGCGAAATGACAGTAGTTTGTTGGATTATGTATTGGTAGATAAAAGACTGTTGAGTAGACTTCAGGATGTACATGTTTATAGAGGGGCCACAGATATATCAGATCACTTTCTAGTTGTAACTACACTGAGAGTAAAAGGTAGATGGGATACAAGGAGAATAGAAGCATCAGGGAAGAGAGAGGTGAAGGTTTATAAACTAAAAGAGGAGGCAGTTAGGGTAAGATATAAACAGCTATTGGAGGATAGATGGGCTAATGAGAGCATAGGCAATGGGGTCGAAGAGTTATGGGGTAGTTTAAAAATGTAGTGTTAGAGTGTTCAGCAGAAGTTTGTGGTTACAGGAAAGTGGGTGCAGGAGGGAAGAGGAGCGATTGGTGGAATGATGATGTAAAGAGAGTAGTAAGGGAGAAAAAGTTAGCATATGAGAAGTTTTTACAAAGTAGAAGTGATGCAAGGAGGGAAGAGTATATGGAGAAAAAGAGAGAGGTTAAGAGAGTGGTGAAGCAATGTAAAAAAGAGAGCAAATGAGAGAGTGGGTGAGATGTTATCAACAAATTTTATTGAAAATAAGAAAAAGTTTTGGAGTGAGATTAACAAGTTAAGAAAGCCTAGAGAACAAATGGATTTGTCAGTTAAAAATAGAGAGGAGAGTTATTAAATGGAGAGTTAGAGGTATTGGGAAGATGGAGGGAATATTTTGAGGAATTGTTAAATGTTGATGAAGATAGGGAAGCTGTGATTTCGTGTATAGGGCAAGGAGGAATAACATCTTGTAGGAGTGAGGAAGAGCCAGTTGTGAGTGTGGGGGAAGTTCGTGAGGCAGTAGGTAAAATGAAAGGGGGTAAGGCAGCCGGGATTGATGGGATAAAGATAGAAATGTTAAAAGCAGGTGGGATATAGTTTTGGAGTGGTTGGTGCAATTATTTAATATACGTATGGAAGAGGGTAAGGTACCTAGGGATTGGCAGAGAGCATGCATAGTTCCTTTGTATAAAGGCAAAGGGGATAAAAGGGAGTGCAAAAATTATAGGGGGATAAGTCTGTTGAGTATACCTGGTAAAGTGTATGGTAGAGTTATAATTGAAAGAATTAAGAGTAAGACGGAGAATAGGATAGCAGATGAACAAGGAGGCTTTAGGAAAGGTAGGGGGTGTGTGGACCAGGTGTTTACAGTGAAACATATAAGTGAACAGTATTTAGATAAGGCTAAAGAGGTCTTTGTGGCATTTATGGATTTGGAAAAGGCGTATGACAGGGTGGATAGGGGGGCAATGCAGTGAAGAGTTTTTACGAGGATAGTGAGGCTCAAGTTAGAGTATGTAGGAAAGAGGGAAATTTTTTCCCAGTAAAAGTAGGCCTTAGACAAGGATGTGTGATGTCACCGTGGTTGTTTAATATATTTATAGATGGGGTTGTAAGAGAAGTAAATGCGAGGGTCTTGGCAAGAGGCGTGGAGTTAAAAGATAAAGAATCACACACAAAGTGGGAGTTGTCACAGCTGCTCTTTGCTGATGACACTGTGCTCTTGGGAGATTCTGAAGAGAAGTTGCAGATATTGGTGGATGAATTTGGTAGGGTGTGCAAAAGAAGAAAATTAAAGGTGAATACAGGAAAGAGTAAGGTTATGAGGATAACAAAAAGATTAGGTGATGAAAGATTGGATATCAGATTGGAGGGAGAGAGTATGGAGGAGGTGAACGTATTCAGATATTTGGGAGTGGACGTGTCAGCGGATGGGTCTATGAAAGATGAGGTGAATCATAGAATTGATGAGGGAAAAAGAGTGAGTGGTGCACTTAGGAGTCTGTGGAGACAAAGAACTTTGGTCTTGGAGATGAGGGAATGTATGAGAGTAAAGTTTACAAGCTTATATGGGTACGTGGGAAGAATTTGCCTGAGGAGAAGGTGGAGAGTGGAAGTTTCCACTGTCTGAGGGCAATGTGGTGTGAAATAATGCAAGAATTCGTAGTTTGGAAGTTAGGAGGAGGTGCGGGATTACCAAAACTGTTGTCAGAGGGCTGAGGAAGGGTTGTTGAGGTGGTTCGGACATGTAGAGAGAATGGAGCGAAACAGAATGACTTCAAGAGTGTATCAGTCTGTAGTGGAAGGAAGGCGGGGTAAGGGTCGCCTAGGAAAGGTTGGAGGGAGGGGGTAAAGGAGGTTTTGTGTGCGAGGGCTTGGACTTCCAGCAGGCATGCGTGAGCGTGTTTGATAGGAGTGAATGGAGACAAATGGTTTTTAATACTTGACGTGCTGTTGGAGTGTGAGCAAAGTAACATTTATGAAGGGGTTCAGGGAAACCGGCAGGCCGGACTTGAGTCCTGGAGATGGGAAGTACAGTGCCTGCACTCTGAAGGAGGGGTGTTAATGTTGCAGTTTAAAAACTGTAGTGTAAAGCACCCTTCTGCAAGACAGTGATGGAGTGAATGATGGTGAAAGTTTTTCTTTTTCGGGCCACCCTGCCTTGGTGGGAATCGGCCAGTGTGATAATAAAAAAAAAATAATAATAATAATAATAATAATAATAATAATAATAATAATAATAATAATAATAATAATAATAATGTCTTCAAATCTCTCAATAACTGATCAAGAATGCTATTGTCTCCCCTTCATTCTTTTATATTCCTTCTCTATCAAGTGGCCACTGGAAAACTATTCTTGAACTGTCGTATTATCTTGGTTTCGGGTTTGATTTTTTCTGTTACTCTTTTATTTAATTTGTCAGAATTTAGTTTTTTTCTGTTTATGTTTGCGTAAATTTCTTTGAGGCGTTTTCCTTCCTGCATAGAGTTTGTATGATATTTTTTTTTTCAGTGGAGGGAGAGAGGAGGAGGAGGAGGAGGAGGTAGGGATGATGACCTTGTGGGAGTGTTAGGACCTGGGTGTGCTGGTAGTGGAATTTAAGGGTACTCTGGTGTAGGGATGTATCGGATATCCGTATCCGCATCTGCATCCGCAGAACATCCCCACAATTTCTTACATCCGCATCTGCATCCGCATCCTCATTTTTTTTTCTAACTCAGACATCCACATCCGCGTCCGCATCCGCAATCACCACACCAGTGGTGTCCAAAGACGGGGTAGTAGTAGTAGTAGTAGTAGTAGTAGTAGTAGTAGTAGTAGTAGTAGTAGTAGTAGTAGTAGTAGTAGTAGTAGTTGTTGTTGTTGTTGTTGTTGTTACTAGTTATCAAAAACACTTGTCGATAGACACTTGGCCTGTACTCACCTAATTGTGGTTGCAGGTGTGTGTGTGTGTACTCACCTAATTGTGTGTGTGTGGGTGTAGCTGTTACTTGTTGTGAAAGGCACTTATCGATAGATACTTGGCCTGTTGAGTATTGTGTGTGTTTGTGTAGCGGTAGTTACTAGTTATGTGTGTGTACTCACCTAGTTGAGGTTGCAGGGGTCGATTCACAGCTCCTGGCCCCGCCTCTTCACTGGCCGGTACTGGGCCAATCTTCCTGCTCCATTAACGTTATCATACCTCTTCTTAAAGCTGTGTATGGATCCTGCCGCTACTACATCGCTTCCCAAACTATTCCACTTCCTGACTACTCTGTAACTGAAGAAATACTTCTCAACATCCCTGTGATTCATCTGAGTCTTCAACTTCCAACTGTGACTCCTTATTGCTGTGTCCTATCTCTGGAACATTCTATCTCTGTCCACCTTGTCGATTCCTCTCAGTATTTTATAAGTCGTTATCATATCCCACTATCTCTCCTGTCGTCCGGTGTCGTCAGGTCGATTTCCCTTAACCTCTCCTCGTAGGTCTCTTAGCTCTGGGACTAGTCTTGTTGCAAACCTTTGCACTTTCTATAGTTTGCTTACGTGCTTGGCTAGGTGTAGGTTCCAAACTGGTGCCGCATACTCCAGTATGGGCCTAACGTACACGGTTGTAGAGGGTCCTGAACGATTCCTTATTAAGATGTCGGAATGCTGTTCTGAGGTTTGCTAGGTGTGTACTCACTTGTGGTTGCGGGGGTCGATTCGCAGCTCCTGGCCCCGTCTTTATGTGTGTGTGTGTGTGTGTGTGTGTGTGTTATGTCACTGGGATTATCACTTGAACTTCCTTTTACTTTAACATAGCTTTCTAAACAGTCTATTTAGTATAATTCACATTGTTCCAGACCATGGAGCAACGCTCTTCTCCATGCTGAGGGACTGATCACCTCAGAACTACGTCTTCAAGGGTAATATGGACTGATTACATCGTCTTTACATCACCACTGCTTCTGCTGCCTCCTCTGTACTTGACTGAAGAAGCCTCCTGTGTAGGCTTCTTCAGTCGAGTTCCACACGTGTCTTACCAACTCGTCGTTATTATTTACCATTATCATAATTCACAATTCTTTAACAAAATAGTTATTAAAATCTAATTTTTAAAATACTGTAATGAGAAGACTTTCTCCATGTCACACAATATAATTGACAGCCGCTGCCGATGCAGTTTTTTATGATCTCCGCTACAGCCTCATATAAACAAAATACAAAATATTAATAGGTTAGCTAAAATTTTCAAAATATTTTACCATTTGTTTATTTACACGCTTATAATCTCAGTACAAAATATTTTGTCAAAACTTGCTTGATTTATTTAGAACAAAGCAAAAGAAAACCCATATTCAATAGATATTTTGAATAGTTTTTTTATGTTATGGGTAGCACGAATGTGCTTCATAAGTTTTTTCTATACAGCATAATGAGTTCCAAACAATAAACGCTACGGTCAAAGCTTAAACGATAGCGTAGGGCATAGACAGCTATGGAGACTCGTCCTGCTGGGCCAGGGGCAGCAGCCTCTGTCCATTTCCGCTGTGGGATAAGGATAGCAGCCTCTAGCTGGTCCGGAAGATCAGTCCATCTCTGTTGCGAACTAGGGGTAGTAGCCTCCGGCTTGACCAGAAGATCCCTTTCCACCTCCGCCGGCAAACTGGGCCTGGCCTTCGTAGGTGACGACGGGGTGGTAGCCGGAGTCATCAGCGGTGTACTCCACATTCTGGAGACGAGTGTCTGGCAGCCTCACGTAGTACCTGAAGAAGTGGTAGAAACACGAGAGTCAGTGTCCGTGTATATTTGTGCTTCTGTTAAGGTCTACATAAGAATATGAAGCAACGTATGAATATACTATATATATAATTACATATTTCTGGAATATTCTTTCAATAATAGTGCATTTGCAGTTTAACGTAATATCGCAAAAAAGGGGATCGACTAATAACTGAAGAGCAACACTGATGCTCAATGAGCAGGTATAAGGTGCAGAACATATCGGAGAGCTTCTTGGACCTGTAAAGCTGTTAGTGGATCCTTTCAACTCACTTGCCCTGGACGATCCCGTTGCTTGCTTGTTCTCCGTGGCCGTAGTCATTGCCTGAAGCAGCGTCGCTGACGTCCCACTGGAAATTGTAGTTGGCGGGGGCAGAGGAATATCCTCCAGACCCACCAATACCTGGGACGCCGTAGCCCTGAGGGGCTGCCCTGGCCGCTGCCATCACCGCAACAGAGAGTACCAGAGCCACTGTCTGAAAGGAGACGACTGGGAGTAAACAACTGTTGGAGGATGGGAAAGATGATTATAGTTGGTGTTTCTGTAGTGTACAAAAGCAGCCCTAACATGCCCTCGACCTACAGAGAGCTGGGGTATCAGGTATGTGCCGTGGTACCAGGATACATTTATGAGCCTGAGACACAAGGCATGAGCCTAAGACACCCGGTTATGGGCTCGCAGACTGTGCATAATGTTTACGTATGTCTTATGACAGGTTTGAGAATAAGTGAATGGGTGAACTTCGCAAATAGCGAATGTCACTGAACTTGCTAGTAGGGTATCATGCGGATACCTTCATAGCTGCCTTTGATGTCTTGAGGCGAGAGCTGAACTACTGGGCAGACATCTTCGCTTTGTCTTTTATACTTCCAGAGAACACTGTCACGTCACGACGTTCATTGTGCCTTTGGATGACGTCGCCACGACAATTCACGAATCTCTTCGCTGTTTAGGGTCGCCAAAGAGGAACGGTTTTATCACTTCTACAAGAATATAACAACAATAATAACTGAAAACTTACAAAATGTGAGAATTTGTCGTATCATACTGACACTACCTAATACAAGTACACTGGATATATGTGAACACAGGACATTATACACAGTACACAGTACACAGTAGAGTTATATGTGGAGGGGAAAGCAGGAAGGGCCGGGCGAATGAAGCCAAACTACAAGAAAGGGGACTACGCGGGAATGAGGAACTTCTGAACGGGGTTCAGTGGGACAGAGAACTGGCAGGGAAGTCAGTAAACAAGATGATGGAATATGTAACAACAATATGCAAGGAAGCTGAAGAGAGGTTTGTACCCAAGGGTAACAGGAATAATGAAAAAGCCAGGATGAACCCATGGTTCACCCAAAGGTGCAGGGAGGCAAAACCCAAGTGTGCTAGGAAATGGAAGAAGTATAGAAGGCAAAGGACCCAGGAGAATAAGGAGAGCAGTCGTAGAGCCAGAAATGAATATGCACAAGAAGGGAGGCCCAACGACAATATGAAAACGAATTAACAGCGAACACCAAATCTGACCAGAAGCTGTTATACAGCCACATCAGGAGGAAAACAACAGTCAAGGACCAGATAATCAGGCTAAGGAAGGAAGGAGGAGAAACAACAAGAAACAACCGCGAAGTATGAGAGGAACTCAACATGAGATTCAAAGAAGTGTTTACAGAGGAGACAGAAGGGACTCCAGAAAGACGGAGAGGTGGGGTTCACCACCAAGTGTTGGACACAATACATACAACCGAGGAAGAAGTGAAGAGGCTGCTGAGTGAGCTAGATACCTCAAAGGCGATGGGGCCGGACAACATCTGTCTGTGGGTCCTGAGAGAGGGAGCAGAGGCGCTATGTGATACCTCTAACAACAATATTCAACACATCCATCGAAACGGGGAGATTACCTGAGGCATGGAAGACAGCAAATGTAGTCCCAATTTTTTAAAAACAGGATACAGACATGAAACACTAAACTATAGACCAGTGTCACTGACATGTATAGTATGCAAAGTCATGGAGAGGATTATGAGGAGAAGAGTGGTGGAACACCTAGAAAGGAATGAGCTCATCAACAGCAGGAAACACGGTTTCAGGGACGAGAAACCCTGTGTCACAAACCTACTGGAGTTCTATGACAGGGTGACAGCAGTAAGACAAGAGAGAGAGAGGGGTGGGTATATTGCATTTTCTTGGACTGTAAGAAGGCGTTTGACACAGTTCCACACAAGAGATTAGTGCAAAAACTGTAGGATCAGGCAGGGATAATAGGGACGGCACTACAATTGATTAGGGAATACTTGTCAGGAAGACAGCAGCGAGTCATGGTACGTGGCGAGGTATCAGAGTGGGCGCCTATGACGAGTGGGGTTCCACAGGAGTCAGTCCTAGGACCAGTGCTGTTTCTGGTATTTGTGAACGACATGGCGGAAGGAATAGACTCCGAAGTGTCCCTGTTTGCAGATGATGTGAAGTTGATGCGAAGAATTCAATCGGACGAGGAACAGGCAGAACTACAAAGGGATCTGGACAGGCTGCAGGCCTGGTCCAGCAATTGGCTCCTGGAGTTCAACCTCACCAAGTGCAAAGTCATGAAGATTGGGGAAAGGCAAAGAAGACCGCAGACGAAGTACAATCTAGGGGGGCCAGAGACTACAAACCTCACTCAAGGAAAAGATCTTGGGGTGAGTATAACACCAGGAACATCTCCTGAGGTGCACATCAACCAAATAACTGCTCCAGTATATGGGAGTCTAGCAAACCTAAGAACAGCATTCCGACATCTTAATAAGGAATCGTTCAGGACCCTGTACACGTGTACGTTAGGCCCATATTGGAGTATGCGGCACCAGTTTGGAACCCACACCTAGCCAAGCACGTAAAGAAACTAGAGAAAGTGCAAAGGTTTGCAACAAGACTAGTCCCAGAGCTAAGGGGTATGTCCTACGAGGAGAGGTTAAGGGAAATCGACCTGACGACACTGGAGGACAGGATAGATAGGGGGGACATGATAACGACATATAAAATACTGAGAGGAAATGACAAGGTGGACAGAGAAAGAATGTTCCAGAGATGGGACACAGCAACCAGGGGACACAGTTGGAAGTTGAAGACTCAAATGAATCACGGAGATATAGGAAGCATTTCTTCAGTCACAGAGTAGTCAGAAGTGGAATAGTTTGGGAAGCGATGTAGTGGCGGCAGGATCCATACATAACTTTAAGAAGAGGTATGATAAAGCTCATGGTGCAGGGAGAGTGACCTAATAGCGACCAGTGAAGAGGCGGGGCCAGGAGCTATGAAGTGAGTACAGACTGCTTAAATGGAGCGAAATAAGGATGGAGACGGTCACAAGTGGCGTATCAGAAGGATCAGTGTTGGGACCCTTGTTGTTCAAAACTTATATTACTGACAAAACGATAGGAAGATAAATATATTGGGAAGAGGATACCAATGAATTTTAGTAAGATCTGAACAAGTTAACGTCGTGAACCGAAAAGTAGCAAATGCAGTTTGGTATGGAAAAAGTGAAAAGCATTAGTCTTTGGGAATGAAAACAGCCCTTAGTCTTATAAGTGATGCAGAACGTGATCATACAGAATGTGAAAAAATCTGGGAGTCATGGTAAGCAGAAATCTGAAGCCAAAACAACAGTGCTCAAGCGTCAGTAAAAGGCTAGCACACTACTTTGGATTTATATCAAGAAGAATACGTAAAAGGAGGTCAAAGGTTGTGAAATGAAGGCATGTATTCCCACCTAGGACATTTTACAGAAAGAGACGCCTTTCGTCCGGTTACTTTTTGTATCCTAACACACAAAACTGAAAGTAGAAGATGAATCGATACCGACAGCATGGTTGAAAGGATATCTTACTGGATACATTTTCGGGTGTCAGGATTGCAAGGTATCCGATAAAAATATCCAAATACAGGGATAGAAGTAGTAGCACAATTATAGTGAGATGGGTTGGGCTCGAGAAGGACGTGTCAACATCACGTTACAATGGTCTCCAGACTGGGTAATATCCTGTTGATCAACGTAGTATCCTGTTGCGAAACGTTTCCTTTAATAAATGTCCTGAACTGTACATTAATGCCTTTTTCTACATCTTGTCGATATCACCGTGCCATTTATTCCCTTCATTAAGTTTGTTCCTGAGTGATGGTCACGAGTTTTGGTAAATAACGCTTATCTGTACCCTCTCCAGTATATCTTTATTTACGTAATTTAAGGACCCAAACTCGACGACATATTCAAGATAATGCATAACAGATGCATCATAGAGT